GAGTCCAAAGATGATGAAGGGACTGAGCATCTCTCCTGTAAGGAAGTGCTGCACAGGAGGTTGGACCAGATGGCCTCCAGAGGACCCTCCCAACATCAACCATGCTAAGATTCCATTAATGTGGGCATCTACATCTGATAACTGACTGTTTATGTCCATAAAAACAAACAGTCCAGGTGTTGCACTAACAGAATTCTTGGATAAATTGAGCATCCTGAAATATGACCTCTGTGGCTCAGTTTCAAGCAGACAGCTCTAATAACTTGAGAAACAGATGCAGAATGTACATTGATTAAAGCTGTAATTTAGACAAATGACCATCCTCATCTGGACCTCAGGCTATTTAAGAAATTCAATCTAAAAATTCATTTTATAATCAATGCATTGTTTGGAACCTTTGGTCCTATTTACATAATTCCATGTGGTATTTTGGCTCTATAGGTATCTCTGATCATCTCTGGGATTTTATCAATTATTTCAATAGGATTAGATACAGCAACTTCAACCTGAATGCAAACAGTGCAGAAGTGCTTTATTTGATACTGTACTTATCCTCACAAACCAAGAAGGCAACTCTACAGTGAGAACTCATATAAGAAAAAAAAAATTGTTACTCATTATTATAAAATATGTTTCAGAATGTTTTGTGTCATATCATTGTAATTATATCCTATAATGAATTGCCGTAAGCTGAGTCTCTCTGATCACTAAGCAGATTAGAAGGCTCAAACCATGACTGAATGTGCTCCAAGATATTTTTAGACAGAGTTCCACATCACAGAATTCCCCCCAAAGAAGGAAAGAAATGGTTACTCACAGCATAAACATCGTACAGCTCTGGGGCATTCAGGTCCCACTCATTGACATGAGATCCTATTTGCACTCCAGGAAATCCCAGTTCCTTCACACAGCGATGCATTTCCTTCACAGCCAGGTCTGGAGCTTGCAGGGGTAACGTGCCCAGACCCACAAACCTCTTGGGGTACTTCTTTACTGTAGCAGCCAAGTCATTGTTTAATATCTGGGCTAGGTCTAAAGTATCCTGAGGTTTGGCCTGGTAAGATATTAAGCAGAATAGTACATTAAAATATAGTTCTCAAATGTTATCACCTTTGGAAGATATTGGATAAATGTCACTGCAAACAACTGAGAGACAGGGTTTAAGCCTAAGTTTGCTTTACAGTTCTGAATAGATGGAAACCTGCAGGACTAAATTCTACCTCACTTTAAAACCTCTGGGTGCAGTTCTGCTTCTTGTCTTGAATATTTTATCAACTGCTGTTGCCTTTGCTGCTCAATAGGAGTGTAATAAAGCCCAGATTGCGGATGCATTTTAAGTATCTGGTCTTTTGTGTAAACCAGTCCCCTGTTTCTGTTTATCCCAATGCAAAAACCTCAGTATATAATTTTTAAACATAGAAATGAATATTTACTCTCCTATTACTGGAGCTGAAGAAATAAAAATAAGAAATGTGAGATGCTGCAGCATGAGAATTCTACAGAGAAAACTTGGGCAAACTTCTCTAACATTTAGAATGAGATAACGGTCATAATTCCAATAAGAGAAGTGCAATATCCATTCAATCAATCTCCATTTCCACCCCCAATAAGTATTTAAAGGAAGATATTCCCTTAGACACCAGAGTAAAATTTTAAAGAGATGTTGCTCAACAAGAAATTCTGAAAATTGGTGGTACTACTTATTTGTGGGCTTAACCCAATGGTTTTAATGTAACATATCTGTTTACATATAGCATCTTGACTTGTACACATCACTAAATAATCAAACTGAGAATGTATTTAGAACAGCATTTTGCTACGGTTTATCTTCTCAGCCTGTTTTTATTTCTTTGAAGTATAAAAGATCACCATGCAGGGAACGTATTAACTTAAATTTACTACTGAGTTTTAAGATTCAAATATTCCAGGTCCCTGAGCCCTGTGCCACATTTAAAAGAAAGTGGGACAAGACCACAAATATATCTTTTATATATTTGGATTTTTTTTCATGAGAAAATACTGTTTGATGTTTAACTTTCATGGAATCTGTACATGCATGTCTCCCCATTTCCAGCTGCCCCCACAAGAGAAGAGATCCAGCTGTTGTCTCCTTCTTTCCCACCATCTGTGCTCCAGAGTGGAGTTTTGCCAGGACACCCTACTGGCTCTTCTGACACCTGCACTGCTTTTGCCTTCTTCAGAGCAGAACAACTCCCTGTTTACCTCAGTGATCTCGTGACTACTTCAGTCACCTCATTCACAGGAAGATGCGTGTACATTCTAAAAGTTTTGCTACACATGAGTTACAAAATAAGGTAGTAGCAACTTACCCAGTAGCTGAACATCACAGGGACTGTGGAAAGGGCTTGGACTGTGACCCCTGAATAAGAAAAAGCAGTTATTAATGTTTCCTTTTTCTTTGTTTGTTTGTTTGTTTGTGATAAAAGATAAGAAAGAGTTTTGGTTTGAGAGGCAGAAGGTAAAAGTTTAATGATAAGAAACACTGATTTAAGTGACATGGATAGATTTTTTTTTTTTAAATTATGGATCATAGTAATAAATTTTGTAATGTAGCAGTTTATTAAGATTTGAACATATTTGGTAAGTAGAAAGAAAGAGAACACTTTCCTACTCATACTAGATTATTTGTGAAATTAAGTATTTTGATTTTAGAAATATTTAGCAGCAATGGTTTGGGTTAAGAATTAGGTCTGCAAAATTACATGTTTACCA